ACAGTTGGAGGAAATATGCCAGGAAGGCAAGACCCAAGGGACTATATCTGGTCCCTGGCCCTTTCCTCTCCAGCTCTTCACCTGTTCTGTTTCCCAGATGTCAGGAGATGGGTAGTGATCCCCTACTACCATGATGTTCATGCCTTGGAGCAAAAGAACACGGGCTGAGACCTCTGAAATTACAAGCCAAAATAATCTTCTCCTCCTTTAGGTTGTGCCTATTGTGTACTTGTCCCAGCAGTGGAAAGCTGACCAATACAGGACCCACAGATATGAACGCAGTTAGCCTCTAGAAGCTAGAAAAGGCAAAGAAAAATAGATCATCCCCTTAGAACTTCCAGAAAATATACAATCCTACAGACTCGTTTTAGTTTTTTGACCTCAGAACTGTAAGATAATAAACTAGTACTGTTTTAAGTCACTCAGATTATAGTAATGTGTTATAGCAACAATGAGAAACTAAAGGAAGAATACAAGACAAGCTCTGAAGACTAAAGAGTATTGGTAGTAAAACTGAACAGCACATTTTCAGATAAAAGTTTATTTTTATATACCAAAAACTCTCCAGTTTCAGTTGTACATTGATATTTATACTTTAGGGTTAAATGAATGATAATAGTTGAAGCAAAGAAATGAAACATTGGAGCTGGGCGTGGTGGCACATGCCTGTAATCCCAGCACTCCAGAGGCTGAGGCAGGAGGATCACTGTGAGTTCGAGACCAGCCTGGGCTACACAGTGAGCTCCAAGTCAGTCTCAACTACATAGTGAGACCCTGTCTCAAAAAACAAAAACAAAAACAAAAAAAAAAACAAAAAAAAAGAAAGAAAAGAAAAAAGAAACACAGAGCACAAGCATAGGTGTATGACTGTAATCTCAGCACTCTGGGTGGCTGAAGCAGAATTACAAATTAGGATCTAACACGGGCAACTTAGTGACTTAATGAGAAACTGTCTTAAAAAAAAGTCTGAGGATATAGCTCAGTTCAAAGTCCCTGGATTCAATCCCCAGTACCACCAAAAAAAAAAAAAAAAAAAAAAAATCTTGCAAAGAAAAATGACCCTTCACCAAAATAGGAAAGAAAGATGGAGAAACTTTATTACTAATAAATATAAAACATGAACTGCAGAGAGTACATTACTTATCCCATACTTGTTTCCCAGATCAGAAGTTTTGTTTACTAAATGGCTACTTATATGCCAAGTATCAACTATTTACATTAATTTGCTCTCTCAAAATGCTGCAAGACAAATTATCAACACTTGATGAAGGGGAAAGGCATTAAAATTCCTAGGATTCAGAAGCCAAGATATTTGACTCAAATACTGCGCTGAGAAACCTGGCAGGTACCACTTTAAGCAAGTGTGAAGATTAGAATGACTCATACATAAAAAGGTACATGGGCATCAGCATCTATACTCCTGCACCTAATATACTGTGAAGAACACACAGCCTCTCTGCAGCCTTCCCATCGTGCAACAACTTAATCAAATCATAACAAAATAAAAGATATCAAACTGAGGGGTATTAAAAAAATCTGATCAATACTATTCAAAGACTCAAGATTATGAAATGTAAGTAAAAACTGAGAAATTGTTACAAACTGGAGAAGAGTAAAGAGACGGAAAATGTAGTGTGGAATCCTAGTCCACACCCTGGACAGGGAAAAAAAAAAAAAGAACATTAGTCAAAAACTAATGAACTTAGAGCCATGTATGGTGGTATACACCTGTAATCACATCATTCAGGAGACTGAGGCAGGAGGATCACTGTGAGTTCAAGACCAATCTAGACTACATAGTGAGTTCAAGGCCAGGCTGAACTATACATTAGATTCTTGTCTCAAAAAAACAAAACAAAATAAAAAACTAATGAACTTAGAATAATAAAGTCTTAAATTTTATTACCAAATAAAGTTTGGTAATGATATTGTAGCAAAGTTGTTTTTTTTGTTTGTTTGTTTGTTTTTTGTTTTTTTTTTTTAGTTTTGGTCATCCACTGTGTAGTCTTAAAAAAATTTTTTTAAACAACAAACAAGATTGCACTGCAGTGCTTCTACTGGAGCAACACATTTATCTGTTTGGTCCAGTATTATAGTTTACTCAAGACTAATTTACAAAGCTTAAAAGCCTAGGTTCAGGTTCTGACTTGTTAGCAACTGCAAGCATGGTTTGAATCTTAGCTGGATTCCTAATTGCCCAGCATCACAGGAAATTCACCTTGACCTAGGCTGGGCCTAACACTTGATCTTTGACTCTGGCCTTGTCTGTATCACACAAATCTAATCCCTTGGCCCAGTCTCTAGAATAATACACTCAATGAGAGAGCATGTAAGTGAGGATACCTTCAGTAAATACCAAGGTTATGAAACAGAGGAGTCAGCAAAGTAATCTTAGAACATATTCTGTATATTAATAATCATTATATTCTCATATTTGCAAGCACATCTTCGGAAAATATAAACAAAGAATACCAATATGCAATAGCATAGCCTAAAATTTTAAACAGTCAACAGAAAACAAAACATAATACATAATTTTTCTTTAAAAAGTGCAGAACACTGTATTTTTTTTAAATCAACTTATTCACTTCTCATTTATTCCAGCAAAATAAATGGAACGACTTGCTGTATTATTTACTGAAGGAGATTAGTGGAAATGGGTGAGTGAATTAGGTGTAATACTTAGCAAATATTTACTGTTATAACAAGGATATTTCAAAGATATGAGAAATCAAACTTATTTTCAAATCCTTTTACAGTTAATACTATCTAACACTGAGAGACGTTTACCTTTGTCCTTTATATTAAGAGCAGCAGATAAGTGATATGATGCAAGTTACATATAACTAACTATAAATGTTCTAGTGACCACTTTTTCAGAAGTAAAAAAGAAAAAAATTAATTTTCATGTTACATTTTATTTTACCCAATTTATGCATTTTTTTTTTTTTTTGAGATAGGGTCTCCCTATGAAGTTGAGACTGACCTGGAACTCACTATGTAGCCCAGGCTGGTCTTGAACTCACAGCGATCCTCCTGCCTCAGCCTTCTGAGTGTTGGGATTAAGGTGTGCGCCACCATGCCTGGTTTATAATCAACTTTTAAAGTGGGGCAAGGGATGCAGTTCTATGTCAGAGCACTTGCCTAGAGTGCATTCAATCCAGTATTGGAAGAAAGAAGAAGAAAAAAAAGACATATCTTTTGCATAATGAATCAAGATTTACTACACACTTTACAATATTTCAATTTGAACTAGTTGCATTCATATGTTTAGGAGTCTAATGAATAGTGTAGCAACAAGATGCAGCTTATTAAAAAAGAATATCAATTTGGAGTTGTAGGATTCAATTTTAATTCTACTTGCTAATAAAATTCAATTAGCTTGTCTCCTTGGAAATCAATACATTCTCCTTTCTTTTGAATTCTAAACAAATCTCAGTGACTAAAACTATAGTTGCTATGAGAAGTAAAAACTATGATGAATTAAGTTGAAAACTCCTTTGAATTATAAGTTCTGAGTGTTTTTAGTTAAAAAGGATATATGCTCTACTGCTCTCATAAACATCAAATGTATTTTTAAAAAGCAAACAGAGAAACATGAACGGGCATATATTAAGAATAATTTTGAGCCCCATAATCCCACCAGAATACAATTAAAATAGGCAAATCAAAATCTATACATCCGAAAACATCTTTGATTAAGTGTCAATAATATTATTTATAATTAAAATATGGAAATCCAGTTAAGAGTTAATACAGGGGAAAGAATTTTAAAGATCCCATTTTGGTAGTTTATTTTCTTCTTTGGTACTGGGGATAGAACTCAAGTCCTTACGCTTGGTAGACAGTCGCCAGAACCACTGAGCTAAATCCCCAACCCCGGTAGTTTATTTTCTAAACATTGACATGTATTTTCTTTATAATGTGTAAATACAGATTTTCAGATTCATTCTTTAAAGAATAGTTCATCTTTATAGTATTATATTTGAAATGTTAACGATTAAAAAATACTTTAGTATATTTTACCTTTAGCCTAACTAAAAAGATTTCTAGAAAGTCAACATTATTTACAAAGAATAACAAACTCTTTCTAGTTTAGTCCTCTCCATTTTAAAAGCAACATTTCCATTGACTCTTTCTTTACAAAGTGCGTGGTGTGCGTTATTTTCTTAAAAGAATACTGTACATTGGACTGGGGATGTAGCTCAGCAGTGCTGTACCTATCTGGCAAGCGCAAGGTCCTGAGTTTGATACCCGGTACCATAAAAACAAACAAACAAACAAAGAATGCACTAAAAGAATATTGAACAAAGTAACAGGCACTTTAACACCTTAGCACTGCAAAATTAGATGTTAATTAGTGGTGGACCTTTTCAATTAAAAGGTTTTACTGGAGTCCATCTGAAAACTGAAGCTGAACTATAGTTAGAAAAACACTACCCACCACTTATTCTCATTGAACTCAAACCTTCTGAGACGCAGATATTATCACTTCACATACATATGCAGAAAGTGAGGACCAGAACGATTGAGTCATATAATTATTAAGTCGTCGAGCTTAATTTCAAGCCTAAATCCTCAAGCGAAATAGTGTTTGTGCGTGTATATAACAGGAGAGGGGGGAGTGAGGGAAGAGGGGAATAGGATATATGAATATTAAGAAGAGTACAATCCATGCTTCGGTCTTTAAAAAAAATCACTACGAAACTTTTAGAAGAAAAATACACTCACTACAGTTTCTTATCACACAGAAACAACTTTTTAAGAAACTTAAACTCATTCAAATACAAGGTCGGCAACAACTGTTGATCAGAATTTAAGGGCAGACAGAAACTCCCATCCCTCCATCCCAGGACAGTCAAGCCGGGAAGGACAGAATCCGGTGAGGCCTAGTAGGGAGTCTTCCCGGAGCAGGGAAAAGAGGAGGGGCCCTGCCCGACCCACGGGAAGCAGCTCTGGCTCCCTCTTAGGACAGCGCCGGACAGGCGGCTCCAGCCTACCTGACAGGCTCCCGCCAGCGTTTGAACCAGCTGCAGCAATTGGCCATCAGACTGAACATCCCAGGTCGCTCCACCCGCCGCCTCCCATCCGAGCCCTAGCAGGGACCGGCGCGCCCAGCTTCCCCAGGCCGATCCCAGGAGCCCCAGCCTCTCCCAGACGACTAGAAGGCGGGTAGGCCCGGCGGACAAGCTGGGAGGAGGCAAGGAGATCGGTCCAATCACCACGCCCCGAGGAGTCCGCCCTTGAGAGAGGAACAGCTACCCTCCTCTCCCGGGGACAGCGCTGCCAAAGGCGCTGATTAAACCCGAGCCTGGTTAGCTCGTCTCTGCCAGAGAAAACCTTCGCATCGACGTGCTGACGTTCTCCTTGGCGCGGAAGACCCTCCCCCAAGCAACGCCCACATTGTACTTCTCCAATCATTGGTTGAAGACCTGCATTGGTGACCTCTGAGTGGCTAGAGAGGCCTGGCCCTCCACCCACTCCGAGAGGGGGAAAGGGAAAATAGGCGGGCTCTAGAAGAAGAAGGCGGAGTTCCGTGAAGATGGCTCTCGTAACTAGGCAACGGGAGCGTCCAGAGATTAAACCCAAGGATCCAGATAGATATCAATGGAGATTTAACCTTGTGTACCCATCCAAAATCTATTACTTTGGGAGGGTGCTAGTTTGGTCTATGTCCAACTAGACCTTAAGATCTCGGCAATTGTGCGTGGGTTTGTTTTGTTTGGGCAAGTAGGGTTGGGAATCCTCTAGGGTTCTTGCAGACTCAGGGTGTAGAACTACAGGGAAAAAAATGCACTCAGAGGATTATTAATAAGTAATCTCAACAGTTCAAAAGAGAGTAACGCTTTCATCTATAATTTGTATCCCTTTATGTTACATAAATTGAGAAATGTAATTATATGATATTTGCTGTAGGATAAAATTAAATTACAAAAGAAATGTATGTTTAAAAGCCCTGCAGGGAACAAAATGAAGGAAGTATTTTATGCTCAACATTGAAAGATAACCCCGTTTTTTCCCAGATTTTTAGATATGCAGATTGCTGAATGTTTGACTTCTGCAAGTTGGAGATTATCATTGGCTATTTTTATAATGTTTTATTCTTTTAAAGAGGTATATAATATCTGAATTTCTAGTACGTTCTTTGAGAGGAAAAAAAGACATGTGTGTGTCCATTCAGTTTGCACTTACATGTATACCTTTAAGTTCTGAAAATGAAAGAGACCACTGAATTCAAGGATAAATAGTGATTTAGGACAAATATTAATCTAGGTTTTACATTATTTTGTCCTTTACTAACTTACCTGATGAGCTTATGGTCTTCTGTACCTCTGAGCTTCGTCAATGAAAGTAGAATTAAAAATACCTATTTTGTAGAGTTACTAAGCTGATGAAAAGAGGAAAATACAACTTGAGCGCAATTTCTCATACGTAATAGCAGATTTAGAAAGTGGTATCACTTGTCTTATAAACATTTCTAGCATGCTAAAGCCTTGTATCCCTTGTCTCCATGGTGAGACGATAGAAGGGGAGGACAGGATAATTGCACCTGTAGTTAAGAGCTACATTGCCACTGTTTCTGCTGATTGTTTACAAATTTAAAAGCTTTATTGTTGATATTCACAATTGTAGTCATTTACTATTATTATCTGGCTTCAGTCATATCAAACTACTCAAAATGCTTTTTGGATATAACTTCTGCCTTACTTATTACCCACTCAGTTCATCTTTTCTTTGCATCTTTCATACATTCAATGAAGTTAACTCATCTAAAACTCTTGCCTTGATCTTTCACAATTTTATACTATTCAAGTTCCCTCTTATCTCCCTGGCCATTCTTCCTTTGGCTTATTATATGTGGTCTCTAAGATGGCCATATCACTCTGCTTTCCTTATTAAAAGACACATTCTCTTGGAGATTTCAATTACTACTTCTGCTCCTAAAGTATCTTACTATGTGAATATTTGTTGAGCATTTCTGGACCCATAATCAACACCATTTTTTCTAAAAACAGATCATAGGTTTCCAGTTTTGATAATGATAAGTTGGGTCTTAGTTTTTCAGGATCTTAAATGGTTTTATACTCATAAAGGTTGTCCATAATTTCTAGTTATATTTTCCTTATAACTACATGAAATAGTTATGCCCACTCTCTAAAATCAAGTATGCCATGTGACTTGCCTTGTCGAGTGAGATGTAGGTAGCATGTCCCTTTTTGAAGAAAGTATTTAAGAGCTGGTGTGCAATTCTCTCTGTTTTCTTTTCCCTTGCAATGATAGCTGTGGGAGCCTATGTTGATTTTAAGGAAATATAAAATCAGAGCAGCATGGAATATTGAACCAATGCATGGAAAACAGCTTCTTGGTAGTTGAAAGTTCATGCTGACATAAAAATAACTATAGAAGGATCCTATCTCAATCTGAAAGGCCATTTATGATGAGCTTATTTCCAACATCATATGAAATGGGGAAAAACTAGGAGCTTTTCCTCTAAACTCAGAAACAGGTCAAGAACGCTCACTATCACCATTCTGTTCAACATAGTTCTTAAAATATTAACCAGAGCAATGAACCAAGAGAAAGAAATAGAAGTGATACATATAGGAAAGGCAGAAGTCAAAGTATTATTATTTATAGTTGACCTGACCCTCTACTTATAAGACCCCAAAAATTCTACTCTAAAGACTCCTAGAACTAATAACCAAATTTAGCAATATAGCAGAATATAAAATAAATGCACAAAAATCCATAGTGTTCTTATACAGCAATAAAGAACTTGCTGTGAAAAAAAATTAGAAAAATAATACCATTCAAAGTAGCATAAAAAAACTAAAAATTTAGGAATTAACCTAACCAAGGAAGTGAAAAACTTCTACAACAAAAATTACATCACTCTGAAAAAGAAGATTGAAGAGGATGTCAGAAAAAGGGTAGATATCCCATGTTCCTTTATAGGAAAAGCTAATACAATCAAAATGACTATACTTTGAAGGCTGATATACAAATTTAAGGCGATCCCATTCAAAATATCAACAGTATTCTTCTCAAATCTAGATAAAATAATCCAAAAGTTTATATGGAACCTAAAGAGACACAGAATAGCAAAAGCAACTCTGGGTAACAATAACAAAGCAGAAAGCATCAAAAATCCAAGATTTGAAGTTATATTACAAAGCTACAGTTATTAAAAACAGCATGTTACTGGCACAAAAGCAGGTATGTGGATCAACGGAATAAAAATAGAGGAAGCAGAAAAAAAACCTGGGACATATTCACCTATTTTATCTTTTACAAAGGATGCTGGGAGAATGGGATACATGCAGAAGATTGAGACTAGGGCCATATATCCTACTGTGTACTGACCAAAACTCAAAATGGATCAAAGATCTAAAAGGTAGAACAGAAATAATCTGCTGAAGATCAAATAGGTACAATTTGTGAAGGCAAGGACTGTCGAAAGAACTCCAATGGCACAGGAATAATACCAAGAATCAACGCTTAGGATCATATCAAATTAAAAAGCTCTTAAACAGCAACAAATAAACCCCAAACACCAATAGAATATAGAGACAAACTACAGTATGGGAAAATATTTTTGCCAGCTATTTCTCAGAAAAAGGACTAGAGTCTAGAACATATTAAGAACTAAAAAAAAAAAAAAAAAATCTCTCCCAAAATAAAAGACTCATTAAAAAACAGGCTTTAAAATGAATAGATACATCTCAGAAGAAATAGAAATAGACAATAAATAAATGAAAAAAATTCAATATTCCTGCCCCATTGGAAAAATGCAAATTAAAATAATGCTGAGATACCATCTTACTTCAGAAAAAATGGTCATTATCAAGAAATCAAATAAAAACAAATGCTGACAAGGCTGCAAGGGCAGAGGAACACTTCTTCATTGTTGGTGGGAATGTAAACTACTACAACTACTGTGGCTCAGTATGGAGATTCCTCAAAAATATAAAAATAGAAATTCCATTTGACCTAGCTATTACTCTTGTGGATATCTTTCCAAAAAAGTTAAATAAGAGCCAGGGATGTAGCTCAGTGGCACTGCCCCTGCCTTGAAAGTTCAATCCTCAAGAACAACAAGATAGTAATAAAAATTAAAAAATCAAGTTACAGTGATATACACATACCTATGTTTACAGCAGCACATTTTATAATAGCTTAGAAACAGTCCAATGTCCATCAACAAATGAATGGGTAAGAAATTGTAGTGGTTATGTACAATGGAGCACTACTCTGCCATAAAGAAGGATAAACCAGTCATTTGTAGGAAAATGGATGCACCTTCAGAACATAATTTTCAGTGACATAGATCAGACAGACCATAAGCTTAAATATCACATAGTTTCTCTTATGAGAAAAGTGTCTTATGAGAAACATAAGTATATCTTATAAGGGTCTTATGAGACACTTAAAATATATAAAGAGCACAATAAAAGATAATAGGTCTGGGTGTGGTGATGCATGCCTATAATCCCAGCACTCTGGCAGCTGAGGCAGGAGGATCACTGTGTGAGTTCAAGACCAACCTGGGCTACACAGTGAGTTCCAGGTCAGTCTCAACTACATAGTAAGACCCTGTCTTAAAAAACAAACCAAAAAAAAAAAAAAGATAATAGGAAGTAGTAGATGTTTTCAAAGAGGAAGGTGAGCAAGAATTGAAGACTAGGGAGTGATGAGTGGAAATGGGATTAAGAAGAGAATTAAGATGTGTTAAGTATACGTATAAACTCCCACACAATAAATGTAATGATTACTTCTGGGGAAAATATACTAATAAAAATACTGATAAAAAGTTCTTGCAGACTTAGCCATCCCGTGATCAAGAAATAAACATTTGTTATCAAACCAGTATAATTTTCTAGTCATTTTTTTTATCATGATCTGATCTAATTTATTCTGAATCATGCTGTTATCATCCTTGTAAGATTCTTGTTTCATTATTTCTGTTGACATTTTGGCACAGATATTCCCAAGCTTAAACAGTTAAATTGAATTGAATGTGTACGGACCAGTCACTGTTCTAGACACTAAAATATATTTGTGAACAATGTATATAAAAAAAATTCCTGCCTTCATGACTTTTACATTCTACATGTGGGATGATGAGACAGAAAGCACAAATAATAAGCAAATTTGAGAAATGGTATAGAAAAATGTAAAATGGGGTAAGGAAATGAATACAAGATTAAGAATGGGATTAAAGAATTAAATTTTGGATAGGTTTTTGTTGTATATTTAGAAATGTACTCAAAACAAATTTTGGCTGAATGAAATCAACACAGTGTTGATCAATAATAAGCTAAATCCAGAAATTATCACAGAGTGAAATCCTGAGATAAAGACTAGAAAATTGTATTAAGCATTTCAGATGGCTTTTCGAATTTTGACATTACAGCATGGGAAGAAGTGTTTCAGCATTAATACCGACTGCTATCACTGTGATGTATAACCATATTCAACAGAAATCTTCTAAAATCTTCTTAAAAGCAAAATTTCTCCCTTTTTTCTTTTAAGTCCTTTTATTAAGCATTCCCTTCTTTTCTTAGTCTATCTATCTACCTATCTATCTATCTAACTATATATATTGTACCAGGATCAAACTTGGGTCCTTGTGTTTGCAAGGCAGGCAGCAGAACCACTGAGCTAAACCCCGGCCCCTTAGTCTGTATTAGAAATGATTTTTTAATGAATGTTACTAGTTTATAATTTTGGAAGTTTTCCTTTCTTAAATATTTTTTAGATTTAAAAACTGATGCTCTCCTCTCAAATTATCCCCAGAATTTAAGGCCATTCCAAAATAGGGCTTTTGTTTGAAGACTGATGACCTACACACTTTTTAAATATTTACCAATTAAATATAGTACTTAAAGTAATCCGAACAATTCTACCGATATTTGAATTACATTTACATTTAAATCACTTGGGACTGAGATTAAAATTAGTAAATCAACTGACCTGGTAGAATCAGTGAAACTAAGAAGGAAGAGAATTTAAAAGAGGAAATGGAGTCATAGCTACGTTCAGTTTTTGTTTCCAGTGAGTTGATAAGTCTCAGAACATGGCACTCCAAAATATGTCACTTTGCTATGCAGTTGTTTTAAAATAAAAACAATTGAGAACCAGCAGAATCAGAGAAAGCTCTACTTTCCATTCAACTGCCTGAAGGGAAAATTAATTTTCTCTTTTGAAAAGGAAATTATATCAGTTAGCTTTCCATTCCTGTGCAAAATACTTGGGAAAATCCACTTGCAGGGAGAAAGTTTTATTGGTTTCAGAGGTTCCATTATCACTTGTCTCAGTTGTTTTGGGCAGGAAGTGGCACAACACATCCTGGTAATAATGAGAGTTCAGGGCTAAAGAAAGCTACTTCTGGGCAGACAGGAAACAAAGAGAGAGATACTGGAAGGGTCAGAGGACCCAATATCGCCTTTAAGGGTGTGCCCCAAAGACCTTCCACTAGGTCCTACCCCTTCAAGTTTCCACCTCCAACAGCACCACAGGCAGGTGGCCAAACTTTCAATACAGAAGCCTTTGGGGGACATTCTAGATCCAAACTGTAACAAAAATTTACATTTATAAAGGGAATTTCCACTAATAATCAAGAAGAGAGCTACTCCTGGAGACAATTTTTATTTAATGACTCTTAGTTGCATATTTCACATGTGTATCCCCAGGACAAAAATTACTGCAAAGAATAAAACGAGCTGTTTCAATGTGCTGGAATTTGATACATTATTTTCTTTTCAATTAAAAACATTTTTAAATTGCTTTGCTATTTTACACCGTAAATACGTAATCCAAATAAAAATGTGGATGATCAAAATGATTCCATTTTCTTCCATTATTTCTGCTCTCTACAGTCTTGCAAAAAGTCCTCACTGGCTTCTAGGTTTTGGGTAACTTCTTCCTCGCCAAAGTAATGGCTCAGGATTTCTTCCTAATCCCGGAGATCCAGACCTCTAAATCCTCAAAGTTCTCCCTGTCACTCAGCTCCACCCTAGCTGGCTGCAAGTTTTTCCTGCGTTTTCCTGGGCTTTGGAAACTTTGCATTCCAGAGAAACTCAGATTTGGAAAAGGGTGAGGAAGGACGATCGGCGATATTTACTAGGCCTCGGGCACGCTCCCTGACCCTCCCCCAGCTTCCTGGAAAAGTCCCCATTATC